TATACAAATTCTATTGCTTTTAAAAGTTCAAAATCCTATAATAAAGATTATGTAAATACTCTTGAATATAAAGTTTATCGTTAATGTCCTTTTGCTGACTTATGCAATAATTTTTAAGGAGGCTTTCTACAAATATTTTAATAAACCTAGTGTATAGATGTGATAATAAAGACTGACCTTTAAAGATTTATATTTGGATAAGAAGATTGTGTAGCAGCTTAAAGTAACTAAATGTTTGCTGAATAAGTATTTATCTTTTTTAGAATAAATCGTTTAAAAGTTTTGTCATTAATAAAGCGATAGCGAATGGGAAAGTCATTATTCATTTCAATAAGATTTAAATATATTAAAAATAATAAAAAGTAAAAATGTAAATACAAGCAAAATACATAGTATACATGGCAACTGTTTTTGTTAAAACACAGATTTTTTACTATTTTCATAACAATAATTTGTTATTTTGTTGATAAAATACCTAACTATGTTCAAATCAGATCAAAACATGCAAAGTTATAACTTTCTAAAGAAATTAAAAAGCTAAATAACAAATTTCACAACTTTGGCAACTCTGATAAAATAAGTTTTCCACAAAATAAATAGCTTAATGTATTAGCTAACGATTGACTTCAGTATCATTCAAATCGGTTAAAAACTTTCAAAGTTATAGCAGCTTGTAATATAATAAAAAATTTCAAAGATATGGCAACACTGGTAAAATAATTTTTCAAAAAACAAAGAGTGTAAAGTATCACCTAAACATTAAGCTCATAATTTTTCAAATCGATTAAATACTTGCAAAGTTATAGCAATTTATGACTTTGCAACAAATTACAACAGTGTGACAACACTGGCAAAATAATTTTTCATAAAACAAAGAGTGTAAATTATAACTTAACGATTATGGACAACATTTTTTCAAATCGGTTAAATACTTGCGAAGTTACAGCAATTTGTAATATTATAACAAAATTTCAACAAATGTGGCAACACTGGTAAATTAATTTTTTTATAAAATAAAGAGTGTAAATTATAACTTAACGATTAAAGTCATAATTTTTCAAATCGGTTTAATACTTTCAAAGATATAGAAGTTTGTAATCAAATCGGTTAAATACTTTCTAAGTTCCAGCAATTTGTAATATTGTAACATAATTTCGACAATATGGCAACAATGATAAAATAAATTTTCATAAAACAAAGAGTGTAAATTATAACCAAACGATTGAGCTCATAATTTAACAAATCGCTTAAATGCTTTAGAAGTTATAGCAATTTTAAATATTGTGACATATTTACAACAATGTGGCAACACTGGCAAAATAATGTTTCATAAAACAAAGAGTGTAAATTATAACCTAACGTTTGTTGTTAACATTTTTCAAATCGGTTAATTATTTTCCAAGTTATAGCAATTCAAACATTTTTAGTAATATTATAACAAATTGCAACAATCTGGCAACACTGACAAACTAAATTTTCAAAAATACCAATAGTTTTAATTTTTATCTAACGTTTGAGCCCATATTCATAGAAATCACTTAAGTACTTTAGAAGTTATAGCGTTTTAAAATAATCCCATAATTTGCCAAATTTTCAAATGTTGGCAACCCTGTTACAACATAGTAACAGCGCCATCTATTGATTGGGTATATTGGTTTTTTGCAAAGTGAAAAATTATGGAACTCCAGAGGCAATTTTCAAAACGTTATAACTCAATAAGTACTGAACCGAATTTGATGAAATTTATACTGTATTGAAGGTGGCATATTGAAGATTTGAAAAAATTTAATTTTCCAGAGTTGCCAGATTGTTGTTTTTAGTGTAGAGTGAATTTAATGAAAAATAATGGTATAACTCGAAAAGTACTGTACCAATTTTCAAGATATTGGTATAGGATAAGAGAGGATATTTTGAAGTTTTTAAATTTTTATTTGACAGAGTTGCCAGATGGCTGGTTTCGCCATAGAAAGAATAAAAGGAAAAAGTGGTATAACTTCAAATATACTGAACCAATTTCAGCCAGACTGGTATTGGATTAATGAGGATATACTGCAGATTTATAAAAATGCTTTTGCCAGAGTTGCAAGATTGTTCTTTTAAGCGTAAAGTGATTTTAAAATATTAAACGACAAAATATTTCCCAATTATTGCAAAATTCGTTTACAACAGACAACATCATGTGCAATTACCATTTAATCTGACAGTTCTAATAAAAAATCCTTTCATTTTAGCAAATTCATTGCTAAAGAAAAAGAATATCCAAAAATTCTCACCAATTATAGGTTTACTTTAAATCTTCAGATTTTCTAAAATTGAACTTAACACTTTCTTTGTTTATCCCTTCGAAAAAGAAGAAAAACAAACACAACAAACCTAGTTTATGTGAACATATTTCAATCATGATAAGTCAATAACAAATAAATGACAAATAAATAGCAACATTTTGTTAGAAGAAAAACAAGGAGGGAGAAGAGCCGAAAAAAAGAAACAATGTAAAATCCTTAAATATCCTTTAGCCCATGTTATCGGAAATATATGCAAAAAATAAAGCAAAAAATCTATATAATGAACCAAATTTAATGCAAATGTATTTTAGGAATAAATATCAACAACAAACATGACAAAGTTACAAGAACAAAACATGTAGCCACAAATACAAACTGACACCTAAATATCCCTTGAACAGTCATGGGCAGTTTTGCAAATGCTAATTAAAGGGGTTTAAACAAAGCAAAGAAATTTCCTAATGAACTACTTTTTTAAAGTACACCCAAGCAGAACTTTGCACTTGTACTAATAAGAGGCAGTAGAAGTGGTCTTTACTGATTTTTTTATAATTTAAAGATAAATAAATGCACGAGTAGTATGTAGGTTTGTTTATAACACTGTCTGTATCTAAGTCTATATTGCCTTTTCTTTCCATTACTTTATTGTTTGTGTAAACAAATCGTCTTTAACCATTAACAATTTCCCACTACAAACACAATTACAATACAAAACCAAACACAAATAAAAAATATTGTATAAAATTTGCTAACAAAAGAAAAAGTAGCAAAATAAAATGTTTTTTTCCTTTTTTGTTTGTTGTTATTGTTGCCCAAATATCTCAATATGAAAATCATTAGGATTTTCGAAAAAATAACCATTAGATTGGTAAACATGGTATATCTTAATAAAAAAGAAAAATATTTAAGTCTAAAGACTTTAAAAGTTTATACTGAAAATTGTAAAATTTACAACATACAATATACCAATACCAAACTGAGATAAACATAGATATTAGAAGACAAATAAAATAAAGCTACAAATACGTATTTACATATAAAACAGATATTGTACACAATAAAATATTTAACAAATTAAGACAATTTTTGTTGTTGTAAATGTTTGCAAGTGTATTTAGAGATTTAAAATTTGTGATTTTAAATTCAAATTGTTACAATGAATAGGAAAAGAAGAGAATAAAACAATATTTATTTTGAGGCAAATTGCTGTAATAAACTCATTAAATTTAAAGAATGTGTCTATTTGAACTAGTGTGTTAAAGAAACATTTTTTGTCAAAGAAGACAATTTCTAAATTGTTTATATATCAAGCATTTATGAAGAGCTTTTGTTGATTTAATAACACTAATACCTTCCTTGACGTATCATATACTATTCTGATACCAGATTATTTAGTTCTTCTTTTAAATGTTTATTTATAGTGAAAACTACACTCTGGCTACACTGATATAAATAATCTGGCATCACTACTAATGTCTTCCACTTATCCCCCTCAATACCATACAAATTAGACCAATATCACTTAAGTACATTTTGGGTTATATCGTTTCTTAAAATAATTCACATTGTAGTAAAAAAGATATCTGGCAACCCTGGCAATATACATTTTCAATATCCAGAACACATCCTCTTCAAACCGATACCAATATTGACGAATTTGCATCAGTACACATCAAGCATAACATTTTTCCTTTAATTTCCTATATAGCGATAAAAACAATCTGGCAACTCTGGAAAAATAAATTTTACACATCTCCTAAATATTGTCTTTTAATCAATATAAACTTTTTCGAAATCGGTCCAATACATTATGAGTTATACAATAATCTTGTAATTAATGCACTCTATAGCAGGGAACAACAATCTGGCAACTCTGGAAATATAAATTTTTAAAATCTCGAATATAACCCCTTTCCAACGATACCCATATCATTCAAATCGGTTGAGTACTTTTTTAGTTATAGCGTTTTTAAAATATGTCTCTGCTGTCCATAATTTTTCGTGTTGCAGAAAAACCATGTACCCCATCAATAGATGGCGCTGACTCAATGTAGTGACAGGGTGGCCAGGTTTTAAAATTTGGACAAAATTAGGGATTCTTTAAATGGCTATAACTCTTAAAGTATTTAAGCGATTTTAATGAAAGTGGTGTCAAACGTTAGGTTATAATTTTAGCTATTTGCCTAATGAAAAAATAATTTTGCCAGAGTTGCCAAAGTTGTGAAAATTACTATTATGCACCATATTCTTGGAAATTGTTAAAACTTTAGATTTTGTAAGCCGATTTGAGTGAAACTAATGTCAAACGAAAGGTATTGATTTGAGCTAAGAATCTTGTGACAAACTTTATTTACCAGTGTTGCCAGAGCTTTGATTTTTTTAATTGTTTATAACTTTCTGTGTTTAGCTATAACTTTGGATATTGTGAATCGATTCGAGTGAAACTAGTGTCAATCGAAAGGTATTGATTTGTGCTAATAGTTTTGTAAAAAAACTTTGTTTATCAGTGTTGCCATAGCTTTAGTTTTTTTAATTGTTTATACATTACTTTATATTGTCATAACTTCGAACTTATTGAACCGCTTGAAATGAAACTAGTGTTAGTCAAAAACTAATTGTTTAAACTATGTATTATGTGCATATTTATATCACCAAAGTTGCCAGACTTTTCAAAATTTCTGTTTTAAATAAAACTCATTTGTAAATTAATATTTCTTTTATAATTTATACTTTATTGCACTTGTTTAAATTTCCCTGTTTTTTTTTTTTTTGTTTGTTTGTTTTTAAGTTTTTTTTTATAGTTTTGTAACTAATATAACAATTGTTCCCCTGGTTTTTATCACAATGTATTTTCCTGTTTTAAGAAACATATTTTAAACTTTTAATTAACTTTTTTTCATTTCTTTGGTTTCTGCTCATGTTTGGGCGAGCTATAAGCATCCGAACTAAATTGTGAAATATCGTCCATCATATCGTTGTCATCTTCCAAGTCCACAACATTTAAATCATAATTGGAGGGAATATTTTCATAAGTTTGATGTGGATGTCTGGCATAGCCGGGCTTACGGCCAGCTTTACCCAATTCCACAGCAAAGGGAGTATGAGTGCTTTGTGTAGGCCTGGAGGGAGCGGATGGTGCCGGTTTTTTAATTGAAATAGGTTTATTTAACTGGCTGGCAGATAAAATTATTTCATTGCTTTTCTGTTTAGTGGGAGCTTTTTTGGCTGTTTGTATTTCTGGTAGAGTTTGGGTTCTAGTGGTTACCGATTTACTTTGATTAAAAGATGAGGGAGAATCAACACCATATTCTTTTATTATGGGTTTAATATCCTTGGCTAGAGGAGGTCGGGTGGGTTGCTGGTGTTGTTGTTGCTGTAAGAATTTCTTTTTTATTTCATCAGCTTGTAATCTTTGTTGTAGTGTGGAGGTTTTGGCATCTTTTAATTCTTCACTTATTTGATTTAGTAACTCCAATAAGGTAGCGGTTTTTTCATCTTCAAATTCCACTGCTATGGGAGATTCTCGGCCAGATATTGCTGGTGGTGATTGTAAAATTAATCTGAAAACAATTTGCAGTAATAAGTAAATTTCTTATTTTTTAATTATTTTATTAAGGAACTTACTTTTTAGCCTCTTCTATGGCTTTACCCAAATGATGTAAATTCTTGACACTATCTTTGTTAGATCTTCCTATTTGTGAATCTTTTAGGGTACTTTGCAATACCATGGTCCATTTGTGGGCCGTTGACTGTTGGGCCACTAGCCTTGCCACTCTTTGGAATCTTTGCTTGGGTGTTTCTTTGTCTGGTCTAGAGGGATCTTTTTCCACTTTGATTTCATTGATGTCACATTCACTGTTGACATTACCATTTAGTTTTTCTTCATTGACATTTTGACAGGGTGCCACCTGGAATCCTTTCATTAATTGGCGTTCCCACATTTTGGTTTTCTTGGCACGACAGGCTAAATAGAAAGAAAAACATATATTTATGTTATTTTCTTAAGGTTGGCAATATTGGTGATATAAAGAATTATGGACTGAACATTTTAATTGTGATTTCCAGATATAAGGATATTAAACTAAATATCAATCATTTAAATTTTATATTAAATTAAGTTTAATCTTTTAAAGAAATATCTTTTTACTTTTATAAAATTCCTTGCTTTCAACTTTATTACTTACGTTTTTCCTTCTTAGCAGCAGAGGATACATCCATGCCACTATTCTCAAAGATTTCCAACATTTCATAACGCATTGTAGATATTTCGCTTTTGACTTCATTGATGTCATCCTCTGTCACTGGATTATCTTCAAACTTACGATTTTGGGCAGCAACATACCGCCAAACCAAAGAGCGCATTATGTTGTCATAAGCATTTTCTTGTTCTTTAGCCTGACGTTTCTAGAAAATATACAAAAAAAGGAAGGAAACACACACACATACAATATTAAAAATTAAATAAGAAATAACTAAAAAGAATATTATTTAAACATTTACCTTGGAACGTTTGCGATCAATCTCTTTGCTTGACTTTCTAAACATTCTGATTAGCCACTTGACAGAGGGCATAATATTAAATGGTGGTGGCAAAGTGCTGGTATCCTCAAAATAGCTCATCCATAATTTGGTGCGAGCAAATTTCCACTCTGTATCCGAATGTTGCTAAAAAAAAAGAAAAAATCAACATTTATTTGTCTGTTTATTCCGTTTTTATAGAAAATGATGTTTGCTTGCAAATAAGTATCTTTAGGGATTTATTGTGTTGCTGTTGTTATTAAGGTCATTTAATTTACTATTGAACTTACATCAATCATGGCATAGGAATTGGACATCATGGCTATTAGTAGATTCAATAAGACTATAACATTGATGACACTGTACGAGCCAAACATGAGTAGACCCCAGAAACGTGTATACGACTTAATGCCCGTCAATTCAAAGTCATCCAAACCCACCATACCAAAACTGGCCCAAAACAATGATTGTGAGGACTCAAACAAACTAAAAGTAGAAAAGAAAGCAAAATAAATACAAATGCTTTAAGTTCATTATTTAGGCAAACATTTTTGTCAACAGCCTCCACTTGAATTAACATTTAAATGTTTCTTGTCACCCACACAATTATCACCTCATCATTGGAATTAGTTTTATTTGTTTTCTATTTCTTTTGCTTTTACTTACTTGCCGAATCTACGCCATTTCATGCAAGAATCTGAATGTCCCGTCCAGTCGGCCTGACCACCCGGCAAAATATAACATTTACTTTTTTCCAAATCAGCAAAATACCACAATAATTGATTTAAGCCACAGGCAAAGGCAAACAATACCAAGGAGTAAATGAAAAAGAATTTCACAATATCAATGACCATGCGGCCTAAGGATATTTGTAGTGGTCCCAGGTGAGGATTTATTGAAAACATGTGCACCAGTTTAAGGGCAGAGAAAATATTGGCCGCCGCAAACAAACCCTCTGCTATAAGTTGGGGATCAAAATCATTCCATTGTTCACGCGGCACATAGGCCATTTTTGGATCTCTGGCTATCTCCGTAGCCTGTTGTATATAGGCAAATATTCTTTAAATGAAAACACAAACATTAAAGTTCATCTCTTTAATTTTACCTCAAAATAGTTTTGCTTACCTTAAACACATCACACTAATATACAGACTATTCCTTAGAAAATCTATAAAATTCCACATATTCCTCAAATAACTTTTTATGCCCACACTAAAGATTTCCTGCACCTCTTCCCATATGAAACCGAAAAGATATAGTACCACCAGCATTTCTAGTTTGGTGGGTCCTTGACCACGTTGTCGTCGTTGTTGTTCGAGCAATTCTTTTTTCATACGCTCAGAGCCCAGTATACGTATGACATCGTCATCAGCACGTTGTGAGACCAATATTAAAATGACTGTTGGGGAGGTAAAAGGGAGAAAAGGTTATAAAATAAAACCGAAAGGATTTACTTAACAAAAATAACATGGAAAAAATTATACGTAATGAAGATAAATAAATAGTTATATGGCAGAACAGTGGAGACTCTTCCAATGTGACCGACAATTCGATTTTTTCACAAAACATAAATTAATAACAAGCTTAGTCTATAGTCTAGTCTATAGTTGAATCTATAGTCTAGTCTATAGTCTAGTCTAAAGTCTAGTGTATAGTCTAGTCTATAGTCTAGTATATAGTCTAGTCTATAGTCTAGTCTATAGTCTAGTCTATAGTCTAGTCTATAGTCTAGTCTATAGTCTAGTCTATAGTCTAGTCTATAGTCTAGTCTATAGTCTAGTCTATAGTCTAGTCTATAGTCTAGTCTATAGTCTAGTCTATAGTCTAGTCTATAGTCTAGTCTATAGTCTAGTCTATAGTCTAGTCTATAATCCAGTCTATAGTCTAGTCTATAGTCTAGTCTATAGTCTAGTCTATAGTCTAGTCTATAGTCTAGTCTATAGTCTAGTCTATAGTCTAGTCTATAGTCTAGTCTATAGTCTAGTCTATAGTCAAGTCCATAGTCAAGTCTATAGTCTAGTCTATAGTCTAGTCTATAGTCTAGTCTATAGTCTAGTCTATATTCTAGTCTATAGTCTAGTCTATAGTCTAGTCTATAGTCTAGTCTATAGTCTAGTCTATAGTCGTGTCCATAGTCGAAAGTTGTTAATTTCAACTGGTTGATTCATAGAGTCTGCTGTCTTTTTTAACTAGATTTCACTGTATTTATTTTTAGATAGACAAAAGAAAAAATCTAACTTAAATCTAAAACTCATTTCAAAGTATATAAAGGTTACTGTATAAGTAGATACATACATACATACATATGTATGTATGTATATGTGGTCATAATATAGCAAAATCATACTCATCATTATTGTTTTATGCAGTGCATGAGTTTTAACAATTTGAAAAGAATTTAAGGACGCACCAAAGCATCCTTACACACACATACAAAAACAAGTAAAATGTTTCCATTGTTTCACTATTTTATGGAAGAATCTCTGTACATGTAAGTTGTATAGTTATTGGTATGCTTCTGGTCAAGTACAAGGACATTGTTATTGTAGTTATATGGTTGTAGTTGTTGTCATCATCGTCGTTATATTAAAGTTGGTATTATGGTGAATGTTTGTTTTATATGAGATGGCTTAGTGGTTGTCATAAAAGTATGTTTCCATATACTGGTAGATGTGTACATGTGTATGAATGTGTCTCTGGTAGCTTTTTGTTTAGTTAGAGAGCAAGCATAAATGTATGTTTGTGATATGATGGAAGAATACATTCTTCCGGTTGTATTCTCTTTAGTTACGCTTTACTTAAATACAATTTCATTCTTATTTCAACACAAAAACCACCACAACTATCAACACTGCACCATACTATGTTCTGAGGGAGTAAGTCAGTATAACAATTGTTGGTTTATGAGATTAGATAATGTCCACAAATGGTTTTGTGAACCAGGAGCAGTGTATATAGTACGTACATATATGGTTTAAGAAGTTGAACGAAAAAGTATAAAAAAAATCTTGTAGAGTCATCATGTCATTTAACTGAATGTGAATAAACTTAGTTTTTTATTTTACTTTACACACTCTCACTTGTTTTGGTTAAGTTCATAGAACACAATTTAACATTTCTTCGTTTGCTTTGTTGCATATAGTTTTCTTCAGTTTTTGTAAGATGATTTTACAATTTTGTTTCTAATTTCAAAATGTTTCACAACATACTTACACAAAAAGAACAAATATGATGAGGCATGTATAAGAAATTTCATAAATGGTTTACGCATTAACTGGCCAGTCTTGCAATTCGGAGCCACCATGTAGATTAAACAATAAACCGGAAACAATACGGCCACCTTCACAATACACAAGAGTTTTTCAAATAAAGTTTTACGCCGAAAACCGGGTAGACCCTCATACCAAATGGAAGATAATAATTGTTGGATATTTGCATGAGCCACGAACTGTTAGAAGAGATAGGAACAAATTGATTGGAATATTTTTCATTTTGTTACATTAGGGAAATAGTACCCACCTTTTTCTGTTTATAATATATCGCTTGTGTTAATCTATTCAAGGACATTCTATCACCAGGCTGATATGTGGACATATCAGGATCATAATTTAGTATAATGGCCAATTCATTTGAGGTTCTTGTTTGATCTAGTAAATCTACGGCAAATTGTTGACATTGTCTCCTTAGATCCATATATTCGGATTTACATTCCTAAAAGGTCAAACAGTATAAGTGTTAAAACAAGTCGATATTCAAAAATAAAGATCAATGTCTTGTCAAGAATACAGATTAGAATGTAGATCTGTTTATAGTCAAGACAGTAGATCAGTACATAGTCAAGACTATAGATCAGTTTATAATCAAGACTATAGATCAATCTATAGTCTAGACTATAGATTAGTCTATAGTCAAGACTATAGATCAGTCTATTGTCAAGACTATAGATCAGTCTATCGTCAAGACTATAGATCAGTCTATAGTCAAGACTATAGATCAGTCTATAGTCAAGACTATAGATCAGTCTATAGTCAAGACTATAGATCAGTCTATAGTCAAGACTGTAGATCAGTCTATAATGAAGATAATAAAGTGTAGACTATAGATCAGTCAATAGTCAAGACTATAGATCAGTCAATAGTCAAGACTATATATCAGTCAATAGTCAAGATTATATATCAGACTTTAGTCAAGAATTATAAGTCTATAGACAAGACTATTAATCAATCTATAGTCAAGACTATAGATCAGTATATAGTCAAGACAATAGATCAGTATATAGTCAAGACTATAGATCAGTCTATAGTTAAGACTATAGATCAATCTATAGTCAAGACTACAGATCAGTCTATAGCCAAGACTATAGATCAGTCTATAGTCAAGACTACAGATCAGTCTATAGCCATAACTACAGATAAGTCTATAGTAAAGACTATAGATCAGTCTATAGTCAACACTATAGATCAGTCTATAGTCAAACCTATAGATCAATCTATAGCCAAACCTATAGATCAGTCTATAGTCAAACCAATAGATCAGTCTATAATTAAGACAATAGATCAGTCTATAGTCAAGACTATAGATCAGTTTATAGTCAAGACTATAGATCAGTGCATAGTCGAGGCTATAGATCAGTCTATAGTCAATCTTATAGATGAGTCTTCAATCAAGACTACAGATCAGTATACAGTCAAGACTATAGATCAGTTCATAGCTAAGACTATGGACTTAACTATAGATCTGTCTACAGCGAAGGCTATAAATCAGTCTACAAAGGAGATTGTCAGTAGTCAAGAAATTTACTTACCTGCTCGGTAAAGGCTAAATTTCTTAGTTCCCATGACAATTGAAATGCAGTTAATATAGGATCGTGAGAGGTCTGACATATTAAAGAAGGACTAGATAAAGCTCTATAAATATTAACACGAGACAAGGAATGACGTAGAGAATCTTCAGAAGACATACGAACACATTCTTCACAACCGCATCTGAAAATACAAAAGTAATATGCATAAAGAGAACACATTAGAAAACATTTTATTTTTAAATGTTTCATAGAGTAATTTAATTTTCTGTTACTTTCTAAATTCAATTTTTATTAATTTCAGAAAACTGAAATAAATCTTTTATATTTTTAATATTTCCAACCAAACTGTGTAATAAATTATCATATGTGTACGTATGAGTGATTTACAATCTCTAATAACAATCATACGTTAAGGAACATAATTTACACAAAAGATATTTTTTTAATATTTCTCGAATTTTTCTAAAAATTTTATCATAAGCTATTGTCTTATAACAAAAATGAACATATTTTTTCCACTTTTTAACATATTTTTTATACGTTTTTTGCATAAAGGTTTCGCCTAATATAAAATGCACAATTTCCATAGCATACTTTTAGGTATATGATTATTTTTTTCATACATTTTTTGTAATTTATACAAGCAACTTGTATGTCAACTTACCTTATATCATGTGGCACTGGTACAGCAGCTCCTCTATCTAATAGAATTTTTAAAATTTCAAAATTGTTTTTATGTGCTGCCAAAATTAAAGGTGTTATATCCGGTGGAAACATGGCTGTATTAATTTCAACTTTTTGCCAACTCTAGCGAGAGTTAAACACACATACGATTACAGTTACGGCAAGTAAAAAGAGGAAAGACAACAAACATAATAAGTAACAGACAAGAGACATGTAATAGTGTTGGAAAAAAATATTTAAAAATTTAGCACGGATGCATGATTAAGTTAATTTTTGTGTGCATATTTTCTTTTAATATAGTTTTTTCTTACTGATGCTTAAAAAACCCTGAATATTTTTTGCAGCATATTTTAATGTTTCATATTGGCGGCCTTTTATTATTACGGTTTTTTTCTTTTGTAATTTTTTTTAGTGTCTGTGTTCTTTTTTTCTCTTTTTTACAGGGTTATCCATATGAAAAATGAAGTCAAGGTTATGTGTTGACTTGACAAAGTTAAAATTGCCTGTGAAAAAAAAAAAAAAAAAACAAGCAGTGTATGTTCTCTAGCCGAAATACTTTTAAAATGTTAGAGATGAAAACGTTAACAAATGTGGTACATTAAGTGCCTAATCAAGCAAACATTTAAATGACACAGACACAGTTACAAAAGCCAAATAACCTGCCAGTTCTGTATTTTAAATTATGATTTAGTATTTAAGTTTTTTTTTTTCTGTCGTTGTATTTGCCACAAATGTGTATAATTTTTTTTTTGTTTGTCGTTACTTTTAATACCTTGAGGTATAATTTTGAAAAACCTTAATTGAAAATTTTGGATTTTTTTTTGCATTTAGCTTAAAGCTATAAAAAAGTTGATTATATATTTTAAAAACATTTCTAAGGGGTAGGGGGTGACCTATTTACTCATATACAATTATTTGCCTAGATATTGAGAGGCAAACAGGAAGTTGATTTCTTGACTCAATTCCTTGATTTGCTTCTTTTTCAGTACAGAATATTAAGGGGCAGAGTTGGTTCATCACAACATTTGCTAATTGAATGGGAATAAGATCTAAAGTGTTGACAGATCTCTTGATTATAGACTGATATATAGTCTGGAATAAGGACTGATCTACATGCTTGACCACAGACTGATCTTTAATCTTGACATAGACTGACCTATAGCCTTGAATAAAGACTGATCTTTAGTCTTTAGACTGACATATTGTATGGAATAAAGACTGATCTTCAGTATTTATAGACTGATCTATAGTCTTGAAGATAATCTGATCAATAGTCCAAACTATAGACTGATCTATAGTCTTCACCACAGAATGATCTACTGTCTTGACATAGACAAATCTTTATTCTTGAAACATGTATAAACTAGCTTTAGACTGATAGTTAGAACTGCTTGTATTTTGATCTACAGCTCAATATAGGCTGATCTAAAACTTGTCTACTGACTGATCTATAGGCTTAATTATACAATTTAACCTCGACTATACACTGATAGATCGAAGTGTAACATAAATTCATCTTTGCCTTATATATTTTTTTAACTGTCTTAAAGTAGGAAGAAAATACGTAATAGAATTTGCTTAGCAAAGTAGAAATAAAACTTTATTTCATCTCATTTCCTAATGAAAACGTGTCTAATGACTGATTTTTATTTCAAGATTATTTAAACTGTATATGTGCTTAAGGAAATCTTACCACACACGTTTTTTTCTTGTTTCATTGTTTTTTTTTTTTTTTGTTTAGAAAACATACACTTGCTTCGTTCTACATAAATATAAATCTCATTTTAACACTTACATAAAGTTCTCCTTCCTTATAGATGAGTTCCTCATGCTCCAGCAACAACTCAACAGCTTCAACAAATTCCGCATTGATAGCATGGAGAAGAGCATCTTTCGTTTCGACACCCATTATAACCAGCAACTCAACCATTTCTAAGTTTTCATTATCGATGGCTAAAGTTAAGGCACGTCTGCCCAAAGGATCCATGCAATTGATGTTGATGTGATGTTTTCGGTGGGCTTTTTGTAAGATTCTGAAAAAGTTGTAGGAACAAATAAATTTCTAAACAATCTTAAATTTAACAAAACTTTTCTTAGGATATTTAAATCTTGTAACATTTTAAGTTTAAGAATTTAAAGTAAAACTTTTAATTACCTGACAAGCCTAGCGGCTAATATACAACAAGTTTCGATAACAACAACTTATGTCTTGTTTAAATAATACATATAAATAAAAAACTTTAATATGCCATTTACACCAAATCAACGTTCAAACAATAGTTTTTCGCTCAAAACTTAGAGCTCAGAAACCACTAGATTTTCATTGCTGTAAATTTTCTTAAGTTTATCAATACTTTATGCCTTACTTTTCAAAATAAAAAAATCTTGCTTCAATTTCAGCAAACATTATGTTGCTCCCAGTTTTAAATATTTATTTGGTCCTAAAATAAAAATCATTAAAAAAGTTTTTTTAACCAAAGAAAGTTTGAAATGAAGTAACAAAAACTTAAAAAGAGAATGAAACAAATTTACTTGCTAATAAAACTGTTTAAAGAATTTCCACAAAGTTTGTTCTAACGTACAGAAAAAAATCAATAGAGAAGGTGAATAAAAGAAAAAAAACTGAAACGAAGTTTACTAGAACTGAACTACAACTAAACTAGAACGGAACTAGAACTGAACTGAACTAGAACTGAACTAGAACTGAACTGAACTGAACTAGAACTGAACTAGAACTGAACTAGAACTGAACTAGAACTGAACTAGAACTGAACTAGAACTGAACTAGAACTGAACTAGAACTGAACTAACTGAACTAGAACTGAACTAGAACTGAACTAGAACTGAACTAGAATGAGAACTAAACTAACTAGAACTGAACTAGAACTGAACTAGAACTGAACTAGAACTGAACTAGAACTGAACTAGAACTGAACTAGAACTGAACTAGAACTGAACTAGAACTGAACTAGAACTGAACTAGAACTGAACTAGAACTGAACTAGAACTGAACTAGAACTGAACTAGAACTGAACTAGAACTGAACTAGAACTGAACTAGAACTGAACTAGAACTGAACTAGAACTGAACTAGAACTGAACTAGAACTGAACTAGAACTGAACTAGAACTGAACTAGAACTAACTAGAACTACTGAACTAACTAGAATTGAACTAGAACTGAACTAGAACTGAACTAGAACTGAACTAGAACTGACTAGAACTGAACTAGAACTGAACTAGAACTGAACTAGAACTGAACTAGAACTAAACTAGAACTGAACTAAACTAGAATTGAACTAGAACTGAACTAGAACTGAACTAGAACTGAACTAGAACTGAACTAGAACTGAACTAGAACTGAATAGAACTGAACTAGAACTGAACTAGAACTGAACTAGACTGAACTAGATGAACTAGAACTGAACTAGAACTGAACTAGAACTGAACTAGAACTGAACTAGAACTGAACTAGAACTGAACTAGAACTGAACTAGAACTGAACTAGAACTGAACTAGAACTGAACTACTGAACTAGACTGAACTAGAACTGAACTAGAACTGAACTAGAACTGAACTAGAACTGAACTAGAACTGAACTAGAACTGAACTAGAACTGAACTAGAACTGAACTAGAACTGAACTAGAACTGAACTAGACTGAACTAGAACTGAACTAGAACTGACTAGAACTAGAACTAGAACTGAACTAGAACTGAACTAGAACTGAACTAGAACTGAAACTAGAACTGAACTAGAACTGAACTAGAACTGAACTAGAACTGAACTAGAACTGAACTAGAACTGAACTAGAACTGAACTAGAACTGAACTAGAACTGAACTAGAACTGAACTAGAACTGAACTAGAACTGAACTAGAACTGAACTAGAACTGAACTAGAACTGAACTAGAACTGAACTAGAATGACTAGAACTAGAACGACTAGAACTGAACTAGAACTGAACTAGAACTGAACTAGAACTGAACTAGAATGACTAGAACTAGAACTGAACTAGAACTGAACTAGAACTGAACTAGGAAACTGAACTAGAACTGAACTAGAACTGAACTAGAACTGTAACTAGAACTGAACTAGAACTAGAACTGAACTAGAACTGAACTAGAACTGAACTAGAACTGAACTAGAACTGAACTAGAACTGAACTAGAACTGAACTAGAACTGAACTAGAACTGAACTAGAAACTGAACTAGAACTGAACTAGAACTGAACTAGAACTGAACTAGAACTGAACTAGAACTGAACTAGAACTGAACTAGAACTGAACTAGAACTGAACTAGAACTGAACTAGAACTGAACTAGAACTGAACTAGAACTGAACTAGAACTGAACTAGAACTGAACTAGAACTGAACTAGAACTGAACTGAGAACTAGAATGAGATAACTGAACTAGAATGAACTAGAACTGAACTAGAACTGAACTAGAACTGAACTAGAACTGAACTAGAACTGAACTGAACTGACTAGACTGAACTAGAACTGAACTAGAACTGAACTAGAACTGAACTAGAACTGAACTAGAACTGAACTAGAACTGAACTAGAACTGGAGTAGAACTCAACTAGAACTTAACAAAAACTGAAATTGAACTGTTTTTCATAAAAAATAGTAAAATTATAGAAATAATTAAATTTTTTATTTCTTTTTGTAAAATGTCCACAACTTTGTGCATCACTGTTTTTTACATAACTTTTATAACATTATTAGTTTAGTTAATACACAATTTTAAGAAACTTAAAACTAGTGTGGTCATTTGGTACCACAAAACTTAACAACTAAGGTTTCCTTCCTTTGTCTCTTCTACCGGCCAATTTGAAAATTACACTACAGGTACAATAGCTTGACCACTTCAAAAAAGAGTACTAGAACCACACACAACAAAGGAAAACCAAGTATGAATAAATTTTTGTTTATAAAACACAATCATATTATAATTGTGTTTGTTTTACCTGTAAGTAAAAATAAACAAAATGAAACCCAAATACACACCAATAGACCACATATGACCAGGAGCTAGACAAAAAAGGATCCAGTTATATTTGTATTAGAGTCTAAATAGTCGGTTTGTGTATTAGTATAGGTGTGTTATTGTAGTCCTTATAATTGTTGTCCTTTTTGAACCCTTTTTTTCACAAAAAAAAAGAAACCATAAACAATGTTGTAGTTTGTTAAGTACTGACAAACATACTAAAGTTATTTGTGTGCTTGAGGAGAGGAGGAGGGTTTCAAGGGGACAATGTGTTGAAGTGTGTCTCCTTTAAATTGTTTTGGTTGGACAAGTTAAAGTTGTGGTAGTTCTGGTTATATACACTCTAGTACTTATACATATTTTCTATTATTATTTACAACATTTCTTTGTTTAGTTTTTTTGTTCATGTTTTTCTCTTCCTGTCCAGTTTTCCTTTCCTTGTTGTCCTTTATTTTTGGGGACACTTAGACAGTTTGAAGTGTGTTTTGTTGTTTGTGTGTGTAAGCATTGTGTTGACAAATTAAAATGTAAACTTAAATTTTCTATTTGTTTATTGCATTGTTGTAGTAGTTGTTGTTAACGCTTGTTGAACACACAAAATGTTCAATAATAAACAGAAAAAAATAAGAAAATTCTTAACATTTCCCTTTTGTCGTATTTTAAGAAAGTGTGGAGAGTTTTAGTTTTATGGCAAAAATATTTTCGAAATAATCATTGTGTTAAAACCACTAGTATACTTTTAGTAGTCTATAAAATTTAAAAGTTATTGCATACATTAAGGAGTAATTATTACAAATATACTAATTTGTGTGTTTATTTTTATATATAATTTTGTTGATTAAACGAAAATAGGATAAAACAGATATATATGTTTAATAGTACTTAAGGAATTTTAAATAATACAATTATAACATTTGTCATTTTTGCTAATTAAGTGGCTTGTGAAAGTAATTTAGCCATAAGCATTAATTTAGAAATAATTGTCTACATTTAGGAAATTTTATTATTTAGACAAATAAATTAAGAAAAGTTAATTCGTTTAAGTAAAGAGTAGACAATTTATTTCACATTTCACAAACAAGATGTGAACCAGAACTGATTAGGAACTATATTAGAAACGTCCTGGAAAAATGCATAAAAATAATGAAAAACCTCTACAGTGGACGTCCAATAGTACGTATACTCTTTATTACGAATATCCAATAATACGAATGGCAAAATTGTTGCATTGTCTACTCTATAGTACGAATAAAGTCACAATTTTTCTGTTCGATAGTACGAATAACGCATTTTTTATGGGAATTTTGGTTTTATTTACGTATGAATGAAGTTTTTATTATGTTTTTATTTTATTATTTCGGTATCATTCACCTTAAGCTCAGTAATTTTGAAGTTTTTTTGTATTCATTACAAGTGTTTTGTATTTTTAAAAATCCTATACACACAATTTACTGCATGTATATTTACAAATCAACAATTATTTAGAGTTATTAATTTATTTTATTGGAATTTTGATGACCCAAGAGAAGAAATTAAATTGGATGATAACGCCAATGAGGAAAGTATTTTATTAGTTCCCGACAATAACTCTGCTGAGAACAATATTGAAGCCTCAAAAGCGCTGTTATTGAAAAAGCCGTAAGAATCATTTTACAATGTAATAAACATCGATGTTAAATGATGGATTTTTTAATAAGTAAAATGATATTTATATACATATGTATGTATGAGCTGTTAATTTTGAAAGTAGTGTGACTCCACATTCCAAACAATGGGTTTAAGGATAACTATTCTAATTTTTAAGAGAAAATTATAAATTAGAGAATTGTGGTATATTCCATTCAAGTTTCTAATAAAAGTTTTATGTAATCTGAACATTTTAATACATTTTAGAACACATATGTATGTAAATTGCAAATTGTCTTTGGCACACATCTTTTTAAAAACATTAAAATTTAAAACCTTCTACATATATCTCATTTCAACCATTGGACTCACGATACTTTCAAAATTAACAATTCATATACGTAAATATGTCCCTTTTATGCCTGTTTATGTACAAGAAATTTATTTAAAATAATACACATTTATTATATTTTGTTCCGTTATGTAATTTTTCATGAAAAATAAAACAAAAATAAATAAAATCCAATATTTTATGTGTATTGTTTGAATTTAAACATACAAAATGTGTTGTTCAATAATACGAATTTTTCGGTATTACGAAAGGGCCTGACACTATATAATTCGTACTAGTGGACGTCCACTGTATAACAAAAAGGGGTATAAATCACATTGTTTTAAATTATTTAAAAGCCTACAAAACTTTTCTTTATATGTATAACATAGATAACAGTCTTGTAAATAAAAAGGAACTATTTCTTAAACATTTTACACCTTCCATTTCTTAATACATATACATTAATGTATAAATGTCTGTTCTTTTCAACTTTTACTTTTTTTCTCTACTATAAAGACAATTTTTCTTCTTTTTCAGCTGTTGAAAGTAAATAGTACTTGTTAAAAGCTTTTTCAAGTTGCCTACTTCTAGGTAAAACAAAATAGCAAAAAAAAAAAAAATAATAACGAAAAACTGTGAAAAACATCTACATGAGTAAATAGCTGTATTGTGTATACAAGAATAAAAGATTCACATGATTGGCATACTTTTAGAAAGCAAGTAAATTACTTTAAACATGATGGTTGTTAAACGCAACACTTTATATTTCCTAAGGAAAAAGTTAAGGCATATTTTTTCTTATGTTAATTTAATTTTTTTTCGTAAAGTGATTTTTTCCTGTATTCAATTTTCTTAAAATCATGTTTAAATTCATTTTTCAATAGAAACTTTTTTCAGTTGCCGTTCATTTTTTCGTATTTAAATTAATTGAAAATTTATTAAAAATACCTGTACCTTCTTCTAAATTGTTCGTATGTGGCTATATATGTAGCTAAAGTATAAAGAGTATGTAAGAAATATTGAAATTCTCCCTTGTGCTGATATTTTCGAGATGAAAAGATAAATTACTTTTTCATATAAACACCTCTTCAACAACAGAAAACAAGATACAACAACAATGAGTAAAACAAATACAAAAAACAACAACAGCAGAGGAAAGTACTATGCCAAATTTAGGAAATAAGATACTTTTTTACATATTTAAATAAATATGCCTGTGCAGTAATAGCAGTTCAATTTGGGGGAGTTTCGCAAAAAAAAAACAAACTGACGAAATAAACTACGATAAGAACTAAAATTGAACTAGAACTGAATTAGAACTGAACTAGAACTGAACTAGAACTGAACTAGAACTGAACTAGAACTGAACTAGAACTGAACTAGAACTGAACTAGAACTGAACTAGAACTGAACTAGAACTGAACTAGAACTGAACTAGAACTGAACTAGAACTGAACTAGAACTGAACTAGAACTGAATTAGAACTGAACTAGAACTGAACTAGAACTAGAACTGAACTAGAACTGAACTAGAACTGAACTAGAACTGAACTAGAACTGAACGAGAACTGAACTAGAACTGAACTAGAACTGAACTAGAATTGAACTAGAACTGAACTAGAACTGAACTAGAACTGAACTAGAACTGAACTAGAACTGAACTAGAACTGAACTAGAACTGAACTAGAACTGAACTAGAACTGAACTAGAACTGAACTAGAACTGAACTAGAACTGAAGAACTGAGAACTGAACTAGAACTGAACTAGAACTGAACTAGAACTGAACTAGAACTAAACTGAACTGAACTGACTAGAACTGAACTAGAACTGAACTAGAACTGAACTAGAACTGAGAACTAGAACTGAACTAGAACTGAACTAGAACTGAACTAGAACTGAACTAACTGAACTAGAACTGAACTAGAACTGAACTAACTGAACTAGAACTGAACAGAACTGAACTAGAACTGAACTAGAATGAACTAGAACTAACTGACTAGAACTGAACTAGAACTGAACTAGAACTGAACTAGAACTGAACTAGAACTGAACTAGAACTGAACTAGAACTGAACTAGAACTGAACTAGAACTGAACTAGAACTGAACTAGAACTGAACTAGAACTGAACTAGAACTGAACTAGAACTGAACTAGAACTGAACTAGAACTGAACTAGAACTGAACTAGAACTGAACTAGAACTGAACTAGAATGAACTAGAACTGAACTAGAACTGACTAGAACTGAACTAGAACTGAACTAGAACTGAACTAGAACTGAACTAGAACTGAACTAGAACTGAACTAGAACTGAACTAAACTGAACTAGAACTGAACTAGGAACTGAACTAGAACTGGAACCTAGAACTGGAACTGAACTAGAACTGCACTAGAAACTGAACTAGAACTGAACATGAACTGAACTAGAACTGAACTAGAACTACTAGGAACTGACTAGACTGACTAGAACTGACTAGAACTGACCTAGAACTGAACTAGGAAACTGAACTAGAACTGAACTAGAACTGAACTAGAACTGAACTAGAACTGACTAGAACTGAACTAGAACTGAACTAGAACTGAACTAGAACTGAACTAGAACTGAACTAGAACTGAACTGAACTGTAGAACTGAACTAGAAACTGCACTAGAACTGAACTAGAACTGAACTAGACTGAAACTAGAACTGAAACTAGAACTGAACTAGAACTGAACTAGAACTGAACTAGAACTGAACTAGAACTGAAACTAGAACTGAAGATGAACTAGAACGACTAGAACTGAACTAGAACTGAACTAGAACTGACTAGCACTGAACTAGAACTGAACTAGAACTGAACTAGAACTGAACTAGAACTGAACTAGAACTGAACTAGAACTGAACTATAACTGAACTAGAACTGAACTAGAACTGAACTAGAACTGAACTAGAACTGAACTAGAACTGAACTAGAACTGAACTAGAACTGAACTAGAACTGAACTAGAACTGAACTAGAACTGAACTAGAACTGAACTAGAACTGAACTAGAACTGAACTAGAACTGAACTAGAACTGAACTAGAACTGAACTAAACTGAACTAGAACTGAACTAGAACTGAACTAGAACTGAACTAGAACTGAACTAGAACTGAACTAGAACTGAACTAGAACTGGAACTAGAACTGAACTAGAACTGAACTAGAACTGAACTAGAACTGAACTAGAACTGAACTAGAACTGACTAGAACTGAACTAGAACTGAACTAGAACTGAACTAGAACTGAACTAGAACTGAACTAGAACTGAACTAGAACTGAACTAGAACTGACTAGAACTGAACTAGAACTGAACTAAACTGAACTAGAACTGAACTAGAAACTGAACTAGAACTGAACTAGAACTGAATGAATAGAACTGAACTAGAACTGAACTAGAACTGAACTAGAGCTAAAAAACTGAACTAGAACTGATCTCGAATAAAAATTAATGTTCTTTCAAATGTTCCTATAAAACTAACCTTATTTAGTAATCCTCTAAAACAACAACAACTTTTTCCACCATCTTCCCCCTTTTATTTAACGTACCTACATACATATATGCTGCAACATTATTTTGCTTCAAATGTGTTTTTGTGTCTACATGCTTTTGTAGGCAATAACAATGAATGACTCTACACATACTAACTCATATACATAAACGCATTCACACAGCAACACCTTCAACAGCACAACACATTAATTCAGAACAACACCTAACCCAAATAGCTCACATATTCGTATTTGTATAAGTATATAATTTGCAAAAACCGGTAAAAATATTTAAACACTACATTGTGGAAGACAAAAACAAAAGCCGGTTTTATGCTGTTTCTAGGAATAAAGTTGCTAATTTTGTTGTTTTGTCGTCGTAGTGTAGTCATTGTTATTTTGTACTCACCTGCGTACATTTGCTATATCGCCACGTTCAACAGCCAACAGAAATTTCTTCTCCTCCATTTGTAATAGTTGTGGCAAACCAACTGGCAGACACCCATGTTTGGAGGATTGTGAAGAGCCTCCTGTGTATTGAGCTTGTACAGGGGCCACCTGTTTTCGTAGCGAAGAGGAAAGATGTTTCAGCAGCACATCGAAAAACAGCAAACCGGAAACCAATGTAGATTTAACAGCAACAACCATCACAATATATGTTTAGGAGATGGTAAAAAAAAAGCAAAAAAAAATTATTATAAATAAATACACAATATAGAAAAAAATAAACAAATAAGGTATTTATTCAAGCATTTATCTAAGAGCTACAGTAAAAAAAGTAATGTAGGAATTCTTTCTAATCTTTTAAGATACAATGTATGTAAAAAACAATCCAAAAAACAGGCAGCAGCCAATTGATAAGTAAGTGCTAAACTTGTTCCTAGCTCAAGAGCTGTATATATGTATGTAACATGAAATTTCAACTGTTTAAAAAATAAGAAAATTATTATGTTTTTTGGGGGGAAATTTTCACTAACTTCGAGGGCCCCCAGTTATCAAACTCAGAATATGTACATTCGTTTGAACAAAACTCAAAATTATCGTAATAACGCCAACATTTATAAACAAATATTTTTAAATTTATCTATTTTTCTAACATAACAAAATAAAATATTTATTTATAAATAATCTGTGATTGTTGTTGTTGCTAAAGAACTTTTTTTACCTGCTGCATATAATTCTGTTCATTTAAAACAATATTAAAACGTGATTTAAGTAACAACGTTTAGTTAACTTTTTATGCTAGAAAATCTACTCAAGTAGGCTTTTATAATATAATTTAAAATAATGTTGTTGTTCTTATGTACATTATTATTGGTGTTGTATGTGTGTATATTATATGATAAGTATATATCTTAAATGTTGATAAACATGTATAAACAAATAAACAACCATGTACTTCTTCACTTACGAGAGAGTAAACAAATACATAAATGGAGTACATACCAACCAACCAGCCAACCCATAAATACGCACACAAACATGGAAGAGATACTTGAACAAAATACTTAACATACATTCAGGCGGTTGTAAAAATAAACAGACAAACAAGCACAAGAGATGTAAACAAACAGACAATTAAATTATGAGATAAACTCCATGTTTGCTTTTTTAAGCTTGGAGGTGTGGTATTGATGGTATTTTATAAAACGTTTATTATTTTGTAAACAGCTTTAATGAAATATAGTTGCTTCTATAAATTTTTGTTTCAATGCTTAAATTTAATTTAAATTTAATCTAAACTGTTACTAAATTGTTTTTAAATTTTACTCAACATTCCTAAATCAATTAGCAATTTTATAAGTTTTGTTTATTTTTAGTTTCTCATCATGCGGTTTCTTCTTGTGGCTTCTTTGTTGATTGTTATCATATTATTATATATTGCTTTTTTACTAAAAGTTTTATTCATAAGCAAATCATTTTATTTGCTGTCTTAAATACACATAATTGATTTTTCCAATCGATTAGATGTTGTGTTTAAAGAATTTAATTTATATTAAATTTAAATAATTTATAACCACAATTTTGTGTGCAAAAATTTTAATTTATATGATTTAAATTTTTTTCACATTGGCCTAACAACATGACGTATGATTATTATGGTTTTAGAAGCATACTATTATTCATTGCTCATACGTCGAGGGGGAGAATGGAAGAAATGGAAACTATTAAATAAAGCGATGTGTATAAAATTTGGAATACATTAGGAAATAGCAAATAGAGATGAACTAGAACTGAACTAGAACTGAACTAGAGCTGAACTAGAACTGAACTAGAACTGAACTAGAACTGAACTAGAGCTGAACTAGAACTGAACTAGAACTGAACTAGAACTGAACTAGAACTGAACTAGAACTGAACTAGAACTGAACTAGAACTGAACTAGAACTGAACTAAACTGAACTAGAACTGAACTAGAACTGAACTAGAACTGAACTAGAACTGAACTAGAACTGAACTAGAACTGAACTAGAACTGAACTAGAACTGAACTAGAACTGAACTAGAACTGAACTAGAACTGAACTAGAACTGAACTAGAACTGAACTAGAACTGAACTAGAACTGAACTAGAACTGAACTAGAACTGAACTAGAACTGAACTAGAACTGAACTAGAACTGAACTAGAACTGAACTAGAACTGAACTAGAACTGAACTAGAACTGAACTGAACTGAACTAGAACTGAACTAGAACTGAACTAGAACTGAACTAGAACTAAACTATAACTGAACTAGAACTGAACTAGAACTGAACTAGAACTGAACTAGAACTGAACTAGAACTGAACTAGAACTGAACTAGAACTGAACTAGAACTGAACTAGAACTGAACTAGAACTGAACTAGAACTGAACTAGAACTGAACTAGAACTGAACTAGAACTGAACTAGAACTGAACTAGAACTGAACTAGAACTGAACTAGAACTGAACTGGAACTGAACTAGAACTGAACTAGAACTGAACTAGAACTGAACTAGAACTGAACTAGAACTGAACTAGAACTGAACTAGAACTGAACTAGAACTGAACTAGAACTGAACTAGAACTGAACTAGAACTGAACTAGAACTGAACTAGAACTGAACTAGAACTGAACTAGAACTGAACTAGAACTGAACTAGAACTGAACTAGAACTGAACTAGAACTGAAATAGAACTGAACTAGAACTGAACTAGAACTGAACTAGAACTGAACTAGAACTCAACTAGAACTGAACTAGAACTGAACTAGAACTGAACTAGAACTGGAACTGAACTAGAACTGAACTAGAACTGAACTAGAACTGAACTAGAACTAGAACTGAACTAGAACTGAACTGAACTAGAACTGAACTAGAACTGAACTAGAACTGAACTAGAACGTGAACTAGAACTGAACTAGAACTGAACTAGAACTGAACTAGAACTGAACTAGAACTGAACTAGAACTGAACTAGAACTGAACTAGAACCTAACTAGAACTGAACTAGAACTGAACTAGAACTGAACTAGAACTGAACTAGAACTGAACTAGAACTGACTAGAACTAACTAGAAACTGAACTAGAACTGAACTAGAACTGACTAGAACTGAACTAGAACTGAACTAGAACTGAACTAGAAACTGAACTAGAACTGAACTAGAACTGAACTAGAACTGAACTAGAACTGAACTAGAACTGAACTAGAACTGAACTAGAACTGAACTAGAACTGAACTAGGAACTGACTGAACTAGAACTGAACTAGAACTGAACTAGAACTGAACTAGAACTAGAACTGAACTAGAACTGAACTAGAACTGAACTAGAACTGAACTAGAACTGAACTAGAACTGAACTAGAACTGAACTAGAACTGAACTAGAACTGAACTAGAACTGAACTAGAACTGAACTAGAACTGAACTAGAACTGAACTAGAAACTGAACTAGAACTGAACTAGAACTGAACTACTGAACTAGAACTGAACTAGAACTGGACTAGAGCTGACTAGAACTGAACTAGAACTGAACTAGAACTGAACTAGAACTGAACTAGAACTGAACTAAAACTGAACTAGAACTGAACTATAAACAATTATTCGTCATACATTTCGAATTTCATAATATAATAAATACCACTACGTATGATTACTATTTAATTCTAAAATATTACGTATACAATATGTAGTATTATTATGAAATATGTAAAACCAATTGAACTTTACTTAAGTATTAAATAAAAAATTTTCAAAAATCACTATAAAACTTTCTACTAACTATTGAAATCAATAATAACAACTTTCCTACAATTGCCAACCATGGAGATAAAACAGTTTGAAAGAGAAAAATTGTCAATATTACTTACAGCTTTGAAAAGATTCTTTTTCACAGCAGCCATTGTTATGGCTGGGTGTTGGATAAATCAAAGTTTTTAGGAGTAGAACCACAAAATGTATTACAATTTTAGTTTTTTCTATTTAAAAAAAAGATTATTATCAACAAAAAATACAAGAAGAGACTAAACATGCACTTCTCGAACATAAAGTAAAACTTGTTTTATTTTTTCCCTCCAGCAGATTCAAAAGTCACACAATAAAATCTAAGTTTATTGTTTAACATAAAATTGTAATCACAAAGTTTGTTATTGTTTTTATCACACATTCACACATAAAAGTTTTAGAGAAATTTGAGCAAAACAATGAACTTTAGTTGACACCTTGATGCTCTTTCTGCAGACACCCTTCTCTATTAACATTTTTAAAATATGTAACGGCAATTTGTAAACTCCCAGTCAAACAGTTTAAATTCAGTTGCAATATTTTTGGAAATTTTTAAGCTACAAAATTTAGAAACTTTTGTTTAATTTTTTTAGGGATTTGCTGATATTTTCTGTTTTGTTTTATATATTTTTACAATTGTTTTTTATTTTTCTCTCTGATTTATTTATTTAGCTTAATTTTTATTTTATTTATGTGTTTGTTTTGTTTTCTCTCTCCCTTTAATATCACACAAACATTTGTTGTTGTTTTTTATTGTTTTTCCAGAGTTGTATTAGATGGGATTAAAAGTTGTTTTAAACTTAAAGCTGCTTATACTGCATATGTGTGTGTCTGTCTGAGGTTTTTGTTAATGAATTTTATTTTTTATTTATTATTTGCTTTATATTTTTTATACTAAACTCCCCAACAAAAATCAATGTTAATTAAACAAACGACTGTAAATAAAGTTAAATGTAATAAAAATTTAAAACATTATTTTTTAAATCTGTTGGCAATTCTATAGTTTTCAGTAACATATTAGATAATTGGAATGAAATAATTTAGTTTTAAATTGTATGGAAAATTTTGTTTGAATTTAATTTATTATAAAAAATTTAGTTTGTTTTATTATTTTTGAAAAAATGTATTATTTATAAATAAAGTTTTTTTCGCGCTTGAATTTTTTAGATTGTTTATAAAATATTTGAATTTTTTAATAATTTCGTAGTGCGTTCTCTTATAATTCCACTTGAAAACTACTTTCGTTAAAAATTTTTATACATTTAGCCCAAAAAGAGATGGCATATTTTTTGTAGAAAAATAATCAAATATTTCTTAATACCCTACATTACAACTATTAATCAATTAAAAAGTTGTCATGATTAGAACAGAACTAGAAAGAACTAGGACAGAACTAGAACAGAACTAGAACAGAACTAGAACAGAACTAGAACAGAACTAGAACAGAACTAGAACAGAACTAGAACAGAACTAGAACAGAACTAGAACAGAACTAGAACAGAACTAGAACAGAACTAGAACAGAACTAGAACAGAACTAGAACAGAACTAGAACAGAACTAGAACAGAACTAGAACAGAACTAGAACAGAACTAGAACAGAACTAGAACAGAACTAGAACAGAACTAGAACGAACTAGAACAGAACTAGAACAGAACTAGAACAGAACTAGAACAGAACAGAACTAGAACAGACTAGAACAGAACTAGAACAGAACTAGAACAGAACTAGAACAGAACTAGAACAGAACTAGAACAGAACTAGAACAGAACTAGAACAGAACTAGAACAGAACTAGAACAGAAACTAGAAAGAACTAGAACAGAACTAGAACAGAACTAGAACAGAACTAGAACAGAACTAGAACAGAACTAGAACAGAACTAGACGAACTAGAACAGAACTAGAACAGAACTAGAACAGAACTAGAACAGAACTAGAAACAGAACAGAACAGAACTAGAACAGAACTAGAACAGAACTAGAACAGAACTAGAACAGAACTAGAACAGAACTAGAACAGAACTAGAACAGAACTAGAACAGAACTAGAACAGAACTAGAACAGAACTAGAACGAACTGAACAGAACTAGAACAGAACTAGAACAGAACTAGAACAGAACTAGAACAGAACTAGAACAGAACTAGAACAGAACTAGAACAGAACTAGAACAGAACTAGAACAGAACTAGAACAGAACTAGAACAGAACTAGAACAGAACTAGAACAGAACTAGAACCGAACTAGAACAGAACTAGAACAGAACTAGAACAGAACTAGAACAGAACTAGAACAGAACTAGAACAGAACTAGAACAGAACTAGAACAGAACAGAACTAGAACAGAACTAGAACAGAACTAGAACAGAACAGAACTAGAACAGAACTAGAACAGAACTAGAACAGAACTAGAACAGAACTAGAACAGAACTAGAACAGAACTAGAACAGAACTAGAACACAACTAGAACTAATATTGGAAAATAGCTAAATTTCAATTCGTTTTACCGAACACTTTCCATTTGGCAGTTGCTTTCAATGAACTTAATTTTTCGTATTTGGGAACTTGTTGAGTTATTTTTGTTTTACAAAATAAATTCTCCGCATGCAAAACGGAAATCAATAACTAGTACATTTTATTTTGCTGTGTTTTCATTTAATAAATAAAAAAATTTTGCTAATAATTTCTAATATTTCCACACACTCTCTCGGTGATCACCAGATATTTGGCGTTGTACTCATTTCCAAAAAACAAAGGAGAAAAACATATCGTTGTCTGGCCAACAAAAAGTTTTAAGTTTTTTAGCAAATTTTAATGAGGGCATTTATTATTTTGAAAATTTTCATTGCTCTGTAGGTATTTAAATTACAACATAAATTTCTTTATTGTATTTCTGAAATTGTAAAAGAAAATAATTACATTTCAATCTGTCAGTGGCTGCATTTCGTTCTTTTGTTGTCTGTCTGTCCGTCTGTTTGTTTCCTTTGTAAACATATTGAAATACTCATGTATTAAATCATTAATTTGTTAATTTGCCTTTTATATATTATTAAACATTTTTGGTATAATAAACAATTTATTATTGTTTTCAATTGTATTCTGTAACTGTTAATTTATACATTTATTGTTACATTTTTTGTATTGCATTGTATTGGCTAATTGCAATAAATAATGCAAAACAATAAAAATAAAATTTAAAAACTATTTTGTAATAAAATAGAAATGAGCAAATATTTCTCATTTTCATTCATTTGTTCACCACTTGATGATAATTTTACATGGGAGAAAATATTCTAGATTTGCTTAAACTAGTTTTCAATTTTAAACGATAATTTATATTATTTAATCCAATACGACATTTTTTAATTTATTAAATTTATACAAAAAACTACTAAAAATGTTTGTAAAATGCTAACTTCATAAATTTTACATGATATTTTCCTCTCACTTCTAACACTTTCAATTCATTAATCAATTTATTTATTTACTCGTTTTTCACTTTTCATTTTATCTCTCATATTTCATCCAAAAATAAATTTTAATATTTAAAAATAAAACTGCAAATTATTTGAGTGTTTTTCTAACACTAATTGGCATAATTTTTGTGCATTTCAAATAGTCAGTCAGTGTTGTTAAGCCATTATTAAATAGTTAAATAAAACATAAATATTATTTGCTTAAAAATGTATAATTTCAGCAAAAAAACATAAAGTAGAAATGAAAACAAAATATAAACATTCATATAGTTACTGTAAATAAATATTTATAAAATTATATACAATAAAATATACACAAATACATAGACATTTATGGATGAAATATAAAAAAAACCGTGTAAAACAAAAGAAAATTCACAAATTTAGCAAAAAATTATTTTATTAAAAATATAAATCAGTTTTAGCTCATTTACAGTTTTAGTTCAGTTCTAGTTCTAGTTCAGTTCTAGTTCAGTTCTAGTTCAGTTCTAGTTCAGTTCTAGTTCAGTTCTAGTTCAGTTCTAGTTCAGTTCTAGTTCAGTTCTATTTCAGTTCTAGTTCAGTTCTAGTTCAGTTCTAGTTCAGTTCTAGTTCAGTTTCTAGTTCAGTTCTAGTTCAGTTCTAGTTCAGTTCTAGTTCAGTTTTAGTTCAGTTCTAGTTCAGTTCTAGTTCAGTTCTAGTTCTAGTTCAGTTCTAGTTCTGTTCTTGTTCAGTTCTAGTTCAGTTCTAGTTCAGTTCTAGTTCAGTTCTAGTTCAGTTCTAGTTCAGTTCTAGTTCAGTTCTAGTTCAGTTCTAGTTCAGTTCTAGTTCAGTTCTAGTTCAGTTCTAGTTCAGTTCTAGTTCAGTTCTAGTTCAGTTCTAGTTCAGTTCTAGTTCAGTTCTAGTTCAGTTCTATTTCAGTTCTAGTTCAGTTCTAGTTCAGTTCTAGTTCAGTTCTAGTTCAGTTCTAGTTCAGTTCTAGTTCAGTTCTAGTTCAGTTCTAGTTCAGTTTTAGTTCAGTTCTAGTTCAGTTCTAGTTCAGTTCTAGTTCTAGTTCAGTTCTAGTTCTGTTCTTGTTCAGTTTCTAGTTCAGTTCTAGTTCAGTTCTAGTTCAGTTCTAGTTCAGTTCTAGTTCAGTTCTAGTTCAGTTCTAGTTCAGTTCTAGTTCAGTTCTAGTTCAGTTCTAGTTCAGTTCTAGTTCAGTTCTAGTTCAGTTCTAGTTCAGTTCTAGTTCAGTTCTAGTTCAGTTCTAGTTCAGTTCTAGTTCAGTTCTAGTTCAGTTCTAGTTCAGTTCTAGTTCAGTTTTAGTTCAGTTCTAGTTCAGTTCTAGTTCAGTTCTAGTTCTAGTTCAGTTCTAGTTCTGTTCTTGTTCAGTTCTAGTTCAGTTCTAGTTCAGTTCTAGTTCAGTTCTAGTTCAGTTCTAGTTCAGTTCTAGTTCAGTTCTAGTTCAGTTCTAGTTCAGTTCTAGTTCAGTTCTAGTTCAGTTCTAGTTCAGTTCTAGTTCAGTTCTAGTTCAGTTCTAGTTCAGTTCTAGTTCAGTTCTAGTTCAGTTCTAGTTCAGTTATAGTTCAGTTCTAGTTCACTTCTAGTTCAGTTCTAGTTCAGTTCTATTTCAGTTCTAGTTCAGTTCTAGTTCAGTTCAGTTCTAGTTCAGTTCTAGTTCAGTTCTAGTTCAGTTCTAGTTCAGTTCTAGTTCAGTTCTAGTTCAGTTCTAGTTCAGTTCTAGTTCAGTTCTAGTTCAGTTCTAGTTCAGTTCTAGTTCAGTTCTAGTTCACTTCTAGTTCAGTTCTAGTTCACTTCTAGTTCACTTCTAGTTCTGTTCTAGTTCAGTTCTAGTTCAGTTCTAGTTCAGTTCTAGGTTCAGTTCTAGTTCAGTTCTAGTTCAGTTCTAGTTCAGTTCTAGTTCAGTTCTAGTTCAGTTCTAGTTCAGTTCTAGTTCAGTTCTAGTTCAGTTCTAGTTCAGTTCTAGTTCAGTTCTAGTTCAGTTCTAGTTCAGTTCTAGTTCAGTTCTAGTTCAGTTCTAGTTCAGTTCTAGTTCAGTTCTAGTTCACTTCTAGTTCAGTTCTAGTTCAGTTCTAGTTCAGTTCTAGTTCAGTTCTAGTTCAATTCTAGTTCAGTTCTAGTTCAGTTCTAGTTCAGTTCTAGTTCAGTTCTAGTTCAGTTCTAGTTCAGTCTAGTTCAGTTCTAGTTCAGTTCTAGTTCAGTTCTAGTTCAATTCTAGTTCAGTTCTATTTCAGTTCTAGTTCAGTTCTAGTTCAGTTCTAGTTCAGTTCTAGTTCACTTCTAGTTCAGTTCTAGTTCAGTTCTAGTTCAGTTCTAGTTCAGTTCTAGTTCAGTTCTAGTTCAGTTCTAGTTCAGTTCTAGTTCAGTTCTAGTTCAGTTCTAGTTCAGTTCTAGTTCACTTCTAGTTCAGTTCTAGTTCAGTTCTAGTTCAGTTCTAGTTCAGTTCTAGTTCAGTTCTAGTTCAGTTCTAGTTCAGTTCTAGTTCAGTTCTAGTTCAGTTCTAGTTCAGTTCTAGTTCAGTTCTAGTTCAGTTCTAGTTCAGTTCTAGTTCAGTTCTAGTTCAGTTCTAGTTCAGTTCTAGTTCACTTCTAGTTCACTTCTAGTTCACTTCTAGTTCAGTTCTAGTTCAGTTCTAGTTCAGTTCTAGTTCAGTTCTAGTTCAGTTCTAGTTCAGTTCTAGTTCAGTTCTAGTTCAGTTCTAGTTCAGTTCTAGTTCAGTTCTAGTTCTAGTTCAGTTCTAGTTCAGTTCTTTGTTCTAGTTCAGTTCTAGTTCAGTTCTAGTTCAGTTCTAGTTCAGTTCTAGTTCAGTTCTAGTTCAGTTCTAGTTCAGTTCTAGTTCAGTTCTAGTTCAGTTCTAGTTCAGTTCTAGTTCAGTTCTAGTTCAGTTCTAGTTCAGTTCTAGTTCAGTTCTAGTTCAGTTCTAGTTCAGTTCTAGTTCAGTTCTAGTTCAGTTCTAGTTCAGTTCTAGTTCAGTTCTAGTTCAGTTCTAGTTCAGTTCTAGTTCAGTTCTAGTTCAGTTCTAGTTCAGTTCTAGTTCAGTTCTAGTTCAGTTCTAGTTCAGTTCCAGTTCAGTTCCAGTTCAGTTATAGTTAATTCAGTGTTATATGCTTGGTATGAATTTTTTTGTGTTACACTGTTTAGCTTGTTTTTTGCGAACTATTAAAATGTGTGCATTTGTCACACATCCATACATATATCATTTGAAGTGTATCTGTAAATGTGTATGTTTTTTTATTAAATTATAAAATAAATAACTTGGTAAGTATGTTTGAGTGTGTACAAAGTTATTCTATTAATATACATTAGGAAGGCCCAACGAATCCAGAAATAAAATGTTAATAAATATCATTCTTGACTTGAATGTTTTTTGTTTAAAATAATTTTAAATTTCCCTTATTATTGGAAATCAGTTTTATTTCATATTATGTGTTTCTTTTATTTATGAAACCTCCGTGTTTTCTGGTTAGTTAAGTGTTTGTGAGCATTGATGATATATCCTTGTAATAAATATATTTTTAAAAATTCATACTTCTTTTATTTATTATTTTGCATTAAATTTTTTATTAACATTATATGTGTTTTTATTGTATTTATATTTTTGAAATTTATTCACTATTTATAAACTTACATTGGCCATTTTTTTACATACGTAGATGTAAAATTTTTCCAATTTTGTAGACACAATTGTCATAAGGATAAAAAAAATTAAAAATTTTTCTATATTATTTAAATAAACAGCAGCATATACATAAATCACAAAAATATATTTTTCCGGAAAACAATAAAATATTAAAAACACGATTTTTTGGCAAATTTAATTAAAGAATTATTTTAACACACTTTTTAAAATATTATTATTATTTAGAGATATTTTTTTTAATTTTTTGCATTATATTATTTTTTTAAATATTTTTTTTTATAGAAAACCGCCGATAAGAGGTCGTTTTGGTTTTATTAGAAAATTTAATAATTTTATTTTAAATTATTAATATATATTTTTTAAACATTTTATTTAACTCCCGCGTCACTTGCGAATTATTTGAACGCATTAAATGTTGCTCTATTCCTCACGACCGTTCTTTACATGCTACGCAACTTTTTAACAATGTTGTATTTCCTTTAATAAACACTGAAATTTATACCTTCCGCTTTGACAACAACAAATAATAACACCGAAAGAAGACAGCATAACGCCTGTTTATTCATTTTATTATTATTTTATTTTTTTATTATTCATCCATTCTATTCTTTCACTTAGACAAATGTTTAGTTTAGTGTTTGAGTCCGCTAATTTAATTAGATTGGACAACAACAGCAGCAAAACCCAGAAAAAAACGTCAAATATTTAAACTTAAAGCCTACCGTTTTCTTTTTAATTTTTTTCTTTTTGTGGTGATGGTGTCATCACGTTGTCGGTATTTATTTGTAAATTTGAAATGTCAACAAAACCAAACTGCGAAAAAAAGCCCATACGTTTTATACAAACATTGTTTGAAAACAACATTTTTGACCAAATTAATAAACACGTTATTCCCCTGTGTTGGTTCTCTTTGCGAAAAAAAACATAAATTTGTGTTTATACAATTTGGTGGCTTTGTTAAAAGGTTTTACACCTCCTTTTTTCGGAAACACATTTATTGGGAAATAACCAGCAAAATTTTTTGGAGGCAATTATAGAGGATTTTCAACTGAACTAGAACTGAACTAGAACTGAACTAGAACTAGAACTGAACTAGAACTAGAACTAGAACTGAACTAGAAACTGAACTAGAACTGAACTAGAACTGAACTAGAACTGAACTAGAACTGAACTAGAACTGAACTAGAACTGAACTAGAACTTAACTAGAACTGAACTAGAACTGAACTAGAACTGAACTAGAACTGAACTAGAACTGAACTAGAACTGAACTAGAACTGAACTAGAACTGAACTAGAACTGAACTAGAACTGAACTAGAACGAACTAGAACTTAACTAGAACTGAACTAGAACTGAACTAGAACTGAACTAGAACTGAACTAGAACTGAACTAGAACTGAACTAGAACTGAACTAGAACTGAACTAGAACTGAACTAGAACTGAACTAGAACTGAACTAGAACTGAACTAGAACTGAACTAGAACTAGAACTGAACTAGAACTGAACTAGAACTAGAACTGAACTAGAACTGAACTAGAAACTAGAACTGGACTAGAACTGAACTAGAAACTAGAACTGAACTAGAACTGAACTAGAACTGAACTTAGAGAACTGCAACTAGAACTAGAACTGAACTAGAAACTGAACCTAGAACTGAACTAGCACTGAACTAGAACTGAACTAGAACTGAACTAGTGAACTGAACCTAAGAACTGAACTAGAACTGAACTAGAACTGAACTAGAACTGAACTAGAGGCTGAACTAGAACTGAACTAGAACTGAACTAGAACTGAACTAGAAACTGAACTAGAATGCTGAACTAGGAACTGAACTAGAATGAACTAGAACTAAACTAGAACTTGAACTAGAACGGAACTAGAACTGAACTACTGAACTGAACTTGAACTGATCTAGAACGGAAATAGAACTGAACTTTTTAATTAATTGAATTTTTGCAAAAACGTGTGCTGGGTTATTAAGTTTCGAAATACATATGTATGTGTATCTATTGACAAAAAACCTGGTCTTCGAAAAAATATGAAATACAGACACTTGGATAACAAAATTTCAATGGTAATCAATCATGTAAGAGAATTCTGTGTGTTTTTGGCAGACTTTTCCAAAATTTATTAGCACATACAAAATATAATTAGGGTTTTAGAGTAAAAAACTAAAAAAACGATGGTTGAAACAGAAATTATTTGTTTTTATTAAATTAAATCATAGTTTTTAGTTAGATGAAGTTATGTGTATAATGTGTGTACAAATTAAGGAAATTTTAGTAGAAATACAAATTTTGAACTCCACGCTGTATGATTTATATTAATTACAACGTTTTGATTAGTTTATGCTATAACATTAAAAAGGTTCATGCGATTTAGTTGATTTTAGAACGATCTAAACTAGTATATTTTAAACTTTATAAAAATATTACTTTTTAGCTGAAATTTAAAACTATTACTAATTTGAATTATTCACAATTACTTAATTGTTTACCACCCTCGTATAGTTTTTGTTAAGAATTTCTACTTGCGATATTAATATGTTCAATTTGTAAAACAACACGTACTTTAATATTATTTCAAATTCTTTTGAAAAGTAAGTGCTAAAAAAGTTCTGACCAGACCAAACTAAACTGACAGGGCCAATGGTCAAGTCTCTAGATACCTATGTATATGAAGGAGGGTGAAGATATGTTATTAAAAATGCTTTAGAGTAAAAGATTTAAAACTTTGATTTTATTTGTTAAGAAATAAAATTAAGTAAAATATTTTTCTCATAATAAATTTTTAAAAATCTTGTAAAATTTATAGTTTTAGAAAAATACAAACATGTTGCATGAAATAAATAAAAGAGTGATTTTTTTGTAGAATTTTTATGTTGTTGAGAAATGCATGCAAGGTAGTTTTAAAATACACTGGAAAAAATAATTTTTATTTAAAAATATTTGAATATAAGTTTGAAATTCGTGTGTAAGCTCCACTTTTAATCTTACTTTAGTTTTATTTTACCACTTCCAAATTAATCTTAATTTCTCTAGGTATTTTCTTTTTTAAATTACAAATCCCTACTTGTCTTAAACAAGAAAAAAACAGACTATTTAGAAGAAAAAAATCTTAGCATACAAGAAAGTAAAGTATAAAGTATATTCTTTTCCAAACAACACCTTTTGGTGTACTTGACAGGAGGTTTATGAGCTTTGGTTTTTTCTCTACTTTCTCTCTACTCTCTACTGCCACATCTACCTAGTGCAGCCACATAAACAAACTGTTGGTTGCCACAACATGAATTGAATTGCAACCAACTGTAACTCTGTATATTTGTCTATGTCTGTGGGTTTTTTATGCTAGATAAACTGCAAGTCTATTTGATTCTATGTTATTTCTGTGCAAATGTTCAGAGTGTTTTCTTACAAAAGCTTTAAAATCCCAAATCCAGAATGTAGCATTAGAAAATGAATTGACTTTAACCACAAAGGATTTTTTTCTTTACCTTTATTTTATTCTATTATATTGTGTATGTGGAGTTTGTGTTTAAATCTCAAGATACGATTTGGATGTTATGGCTTCTTAAGACAAAAATTGTACAGAAATAAGATTGAATATAAAAGAGTAGAAATATGTAAACATTAAGGTGGTCATAATCTTTCGCATACTATGTAATATTGTTCACATTACAGTTTATAATTGCGAGATGTTTTGTGCAGTAAATGATTCAAATTACTAGAATTTAAATAAGAATAAAAAATTTGTCTACCATGGCGTATGATTAATATTAATTATAACTTGTATGCTATTTTCAACTATAACTTAAACACTTTATATCAATATTAAATATTTGCGAGTATAATTTGGTTTTGCCGCCTCCCTAATTTAGTTATTCTATACATATGAAAAAATATAATATAGGAATGAAAAATTTACACATATACTGGCAAAACCATACTACTACTTACAGAAAACACGTATCTTCATATGCGGCAAGTTAAATAAATTTAAGTTTAAAAACCGCAAAAAATACAAAATGCATTTAAAGAAAGAATGCAGCACGTAAGCATGACATAGAGATATGAAATGTTACAGTAACGGAGGAAATAAATAATTTTCAATACAATCTAGAACTGATCCAGAACTGAACTAGAACTGAACTAGAACTGAACTAGAACTGAACTAGAACTGAACTAGAACTGAACTAGAACTGAACTAGAACTGAACTAGAACTGAACTAGAACTGAACTAGAACTGAACTAGAACTGAACTAGAACTGAACTAGAACTGAACTAGAACTGAACTAGAACTGAACTAGAACTGAACTAGAACTGAACTAGAACTGAACTAGAACTGAACTAGAACTGAACTAGAACTGAACTAGAACTGAACCAGAACTGAACTAGAACTGAACTAGAACTGAACTAGAACTGAACTAGAACTGAACTAGAACTGAACTAGAACTGAACTAAACTGAACTAGAACTGAACTAGAACTGAACTAGAACTGAACGAACTGAACTAGAACTGAACTGAACTGAACTAGAACTGAACTAGAACTGAACTAGAACTGAACTAGAACTGAACTAGAACTGAACTAGAACTGAACTAGAACTGAACTAGAACTGAACTAGAACTGAACTAGAACTGAACTAGAAACTGAACTAGAACTGAACTAGAACTGAACTAGAACTGAACTAGAACTGAACTAGAACTGAACTAGAACTGAACTAGAACTGAACTAGAACTGAACTAGAACTGAACTAGAACTGAACTAGAACAGAACTAGAACAGAACTAGAACTGAACTAGAACTGAACTAGAACTGAACTAGAACTGAACTAGAACTGAACTAGAACTGAACTAGAACTGAACTAGAACAGAACTAGAACTAGAACTAGAACTGAACTAGAACTGAACTAGAACTGAACTAGAACTGAACTAGAACTGAACTAGAACTGAACTAGAACTGAACTAGAACTGAACTAGAACTGAACTAGAACTGAACTAGAACTGAACTAGAACTGAACTAGAACTGAACTAGAACTGAACTAGAACTGAACTAGAACTGAACTAGAACTGAACTAGAACTGAACTAGAACTGAACTAGAACTGAACTAGAACCGAACTAGAACTGAACTAGAA